ATAGAGAAATCAAACATTGACAGAACTTTTAATAACATTTAATTTAACATGTTATCTAACATTTAATTTAACATTTTATCTTCGAAAGGCCTTCAAAAAAGCTTTGAAGACATACCAAATGCCGTGAGCTTGTAGTTCTGGGTTGATTGTTCAAATGTTGTGCATGAATTGTAAGATACTCACCTCTCCGAGGATTTGATTTCTATGCAACCTACAATGTGTGCCAGACAAAAACTAAATTTATGAGGCACTCAACATTTCAAAGTAAAATCCTTCAATAAAACCTACACTTACCNGAAATACGCAGTTACATCACGAAAGTCATCCTGAAACTTGCTTCATCCTGAAACTTGCTCTCAGTATTAGCAAGGCGACTGAGGTTGCGCTCCGACCGAGTCCTTCTATTGTTCTTGAGAAAGAGCAAATGTGATGTGCCTTAAGGTTACTTCCCATCTTCGTTTATTCTTTTATTGGACTAGATTGAAGTTAAACATTTTACCTAATCTCAGAAAGCGTCTGACTTATTTAGGGAAACTTATTTTCAAATAAAAGTTGATAAATCAGGAGGGTGTCATAATCTCGTAAATGGACGAACCCCCTTGGGGAATGTTCGCGGCAATTTCAGGTTATTTACATGTTTTGTTTACATTGCTCACCTGACAAAATTCACACATGAAAGTTCTCTGCTAGTGTAAAGTCTTTTCTCATGGATAAAAAAACAGAAATCAAAGTTAGAGAGGAGTCCCTGGGGAAAGAAAAAGAAACAAAGCAGGCCCAAAGAGGAGAGAAATGACACCATTTTTTTTTTCCAGGAAAAAAAAACCAGTCCTGGCACTCCTCTTCATGATGACATCCAAATTACGAACAAAGAAGTCACCATCAAATCTATATTTACCGTACATAAGGTCTGAAAACTTAGTTTCCTTTCAATAAACAAGCGCCTCGAATCGTATGAAATCATGAATAAACCTACCCGAGGGAACTCATTTCAGCGATAAGGGTATTACTTAAGCTGTCTGTCTATTAGCTGTTTTGCTTTTCAGCAGTTTCTCCAGCTTTACCTTTTTTGCCGTGGGTTTTTTCTTTGCCAGTTTTGCCCATTACTCAACGTTCAACAGAGCAAGATACAAAAGAAAAACGCAACTGCTATGGGATACTTTTCCCGGGAAAATTTTGATGCTGGTCATTGATGCCTGGAGGTCACGTCTTCCCATTGGTTCGCGGTTTCAGGAAGCGATATAATCTCTTGGTGTGGCGACAGTAGTTTACAAACCTTTAGGCGCTAAAATCTCGCATCTGCTTTTGAGAGGATTGCATGCACTTTAAACAAATTTATAGGATTTGTAGATTTCACCGATTTTCGTGAAATTTCGCCAAAACACTCCAGAGATAATGAATAACGAAAGTGTGTCAGGAAATTTTGATATCTGATATATTCACGTGGTGTCAATCCATTTACGCAACACGCCTCGCACTTTTTACGCTACTCTAACTCTTTATTAGATGCGGATATCTAGACAACCAATCAGAATATCGGGAAAGCCTGACACACTTTTGTTGATTGATGCCTTGTGAATAAGACTGTGCAGCTGATTTTGCTCGTGCAGCGAGATCCGATAGCCGATAAATTCAATAGAAGGATCCTCGGTCGTTTCCCGCCTTACCAGCTCCTGATACTCCCTAAATAAAAAAATCGCGTAAATTATATTTTTATCGTAAACTGTATGTATTAAGCTTTCCTTTAATGTGTGGTTTGTTAGCGCTTTCTTTAAACTAGCGCGCGTACGAATTTTTTCCCCAAGGACACCCGCGAAGGTGGGAAGTAACCTTAAGAAGGGAAATTTCCCTTTTGAATTAAGACAAGTCGTGACCTTGAGAACCAACAAACAGAAATTCAACGAAAAAAATTATTTTAAAACCTTTCAATCTTAGCAGAGGTTTAAAAATGAGCTATTTACAAAGCAAAAATCTACTTGAAAAGTAAAAACCAAACGTTTTCTGCACTAGGTCATCAT